TCGAATTTTTAATGACGTAATCCTCCTACGAATATGGGCATGTGGAAGACCAAATTTGACATTTGGAATTTGTTTTATTATCGATTTCATATTTTGTAAAACTTTAATGAATTTTTGATTAACAAACTCAAGGATTTCAAAGCGAGCAATGGCAAAACTCTACAATGGGGGGGGGGAACCCTTTTTATTTCCAGCACGTGAGACTGTGTATCGGAAATTCTAAAGATATGCGCATTTAAAAATTATTTTGCGACATTGCTATTGAACTGAAATTTATGGTTAAGTGCGAAGAACATGAAATTTAGTAAATAAAGGTAACACACAAAACGTTAAAAAAACGCCCCTTTAAAATTTGAAAACTTTCATATTTTTTTTAAATATTATCTCGAAGAGAAATGCTGAGGTTGTCATATATTTCCCGCCGAAACAAAACCATTGTCTCTCGAGAAGTTTGTCACAAGTTTTCTCATGCAAGTGATTTAATTTTAAAAAAATATAGTTATATCTTGAATAACTAAGGCTTTTCTCTGTTAAACAATTGCAAATGCCCTTGTGTATAGTTATGTTAGGGTGGAATAATTCACCTACAGTTTGTCATCGTTGTTTTGAACATACACTTTGTTTTGAACACTTTGTTTGAACTTTGTTTGTTTGTTTTGAACGTTGTTCTGAACATACACTGAACTTCCAGTCTATCAGTTTTTAAATTTCTTAGGTCTATAGTAGCTGTTTAATTTGAAAGTTTCAAATGTTAAACTAATAAACCTAACTGAATATGAAGGTCATATTGCAAACCCCCTCCTCTAAGATAAAAATGCTATAACCATTCAGTACAAAATTTCACGGTAGAATCTGCATGAAGTATCCTACAAAAATCTTCTATCCAGAGCATATGGGAGGGACACACTAGTTGTTTTCAAACAACCATAATACTGTATAATTACCCGCTAGCAAGAGTGCAGGCCTAGCAAAGTGACCTTGAACTATATAATTATGGTTTTGGGACAACAAGGGGCTTTCTTTACACCAATCACATTTGACTCAAAAAGATGAGCTTTGTGTGCTTTGTAAAGCATAGCGTTCTTTGACCTCTGGAAGAAGTTATCAACAATTTTATATTGAAGTTAGCAAAAGTTTTCTATGCCAGCTACTGTATTTTCTGTAACAAGATGTAAACCTAAATTCGTCGAAGATAGTTCTTGCAGACAAACTGTCAGAGAAAATTGAATGAAAGAGTATTTAGAAGAGGCAGGGGATAACTTATTATAGAAAATACTTACAAAAGCTTAATTTTTAATTACTCTAATTTGCATCAACAGCATTTAGTTTTACTTTCACTATTAATACATCTCTTACTATTACTTATATCTGTGTATAAACAATGTTGTCACTGATAGCACAAACTAGAGTAGAAGAGAAACACGCTAATGGGACAAACAAAATCGTAAAAACAACCTTGTATTTAGCATAAATATATTGAAACACTCGATCGATTTCGAGGGCAGCTAAAGGTCTTTCCTCATCAGGAGAAAGAAATATGATGATGAATATGAAAGAAGAATGATGAGGAATGACCTTTAGCTGCCCTCGAAATCGATTGAGTGTTTCAATATATTTACGCTAAATACAAGGTTGTTTTTACGATTTTGACTGTCGCATTAATGTTGTCACTCTTTAAACATTGAATAATCTTTCAGTAAGTATACACGATACGCAAATTCTATAATTTTTTGTTAAAAGGCAAAGATTAAAAATCCTTAAAATTTCATTTGATATGGAGAAGCGGACTATTCATTAATTTAACGCACACATCCAAGCGGTTTCCAAGGAATTTTCTGGAAACTCAGACAAGAAGTGTTCTGCGAGTTCTCCCATCCCCTACCCCAAAAACAGTTTACGTTCTTTACATAATTTTTAATTTATCGAAAAGACTCAGACATTAGATTAAAAATAAATTGGTTTAATATAAAATTGTTTAAAAATAGCTTGAAAGGTCCTGTAACTAACTGCTAAATAGTAAAACTTCAGGACTCATATTTTAGATCTTGTACTAAATTTTGAAATATAAGTTTCAATTTCTATCCAATATGATATTCTTTATCTCTTTGTTTGTTTGTTACAAAATAAATATCATCAAAAAAGTCCTTGCAGTAAGGTATTTTATTCAATAGGCGTTAATCAGTAACTTACATCGAAAATTTTGTTGAGATATTTTGGCAAACGATGCTTTCTTGTCATAACCTTTAGTTTTAAGTGAAAATACATCCCAAGAATCAACGTCTTAGAAATTATTACTAGTTTAGAAAAATATATTAACAGTTTCGTAAATGAAGTGTGCATAGCAAAATGCTACTAGTTAACAAGTTCTGTTAGAAGTTCACTTATTCATAATTTAAAAGTAGGTAAAAATATTCGAAATATGCAAAACCTTCTTTGATATAAATTGTTCAACTATCTTTGTATTAAAACGATGGAAATTAATGTGGAACCTTTGGAAACGCTGTGTTGTCTAGAGCATATTCCAAGCTAAAACCAAGAAATCGAAAATTTATTCTGCGAAAAATTAAACAACACCCAAAAATTAGTGCCATATACTTGAAGCGAATTTAGGGGAACAGCTTGCAATAAAATTTAACACTGAAGCTGCTAGAAAATTCGTTATGGCATATGGATACAATGGGCAATCAGCAAGAAGTAAATTCATTGCCGACAAGAAAGAAGGAAAATACGTTTGTTAGTTCGAAAAATCCATGGTAAGCAAAGATTTATCACATTAGAACAATGTTATAATAACATACGAATCAAAATTTAATATACTCGTACATAAGTCTCGATGGTCGGCAAAGTTATATAGATTGAGTTGGAGGAAAGAATAAGAACATATGATATTTCTTTCGAAGTTCTTTTAAAAGTAATTCCTACGGGGGAATGGAATAAAACAGTACATTCTTACACGAAACAAATTAGTTAATTCCACGCCAAAGCGCATGAAAAATGTAATTTTAAAGGATATCCAAAGCAATATTGAACGTCTCGCTGTTAGCACTTTTTTACTGAATATAAACTCTTTATTCAAAGTGTCTGAATATATATATATATATATATATTCACTTTCAGAATATTTTGAATATATATTTTGCCAAAATTGTTTTGAATAGCTTTTAAAAAAGTATTAGTAGTATACGTGAAAAAAAATAAAGTCATTTAGTTAACACTAAACAAAGGATATTTGCAAATGAAACAGAAAAACACGAGTCCGAAAACAAATATGAGCCACAGCATTTGCGATATCTATAACCCATTTTTAGATTCTTGGGAAAATCATGACCACGTGCTATCGAACCGCATTCGTTATCTCTTCAGCTCGCTTTATCAATCAAAGTGCAAATGTCAAGAATGTAAATGAATTAGAGAGCAAAATTTTGAAGATAGTGTTTCTACTGTAAAATGTTTCGCTTAGAGTAAATCTGCAATAATTAGCTTGGAATAAACGCAGAATGAATATACGTACATCGTAATGTAGAACTTTGGTGTACAAAGTCTGACTTAATTTACTAGTCTACTAAGAGTTTCAAATGTAAACAAATGGCGGCTTCATTAGGCTTAGTAGCACTTAAGCAACTTTTAAATTGCTGATAATTCTATAACTATAGTATGCAGATTAGCTAACAGTATAAACCCTTAACCGGCACATAAGAACAACATAATTCAATCACTTTTAAAGCAACAAATACTCAGTTGACCAATATATAAGAATGAAAAACTGAGCTCCCCGAGCCGCATTCCAGTGTGGATGTTTATAGATAGATAGATAGATAGAAATACTTTTGGTGCAGCTGATTGCAACTAAAACGGAAGGTGCACAATTATATGTTATAGTAATCCCATATACACAATTTCAACGTTCTCAGGCTACACGTTTTTGAGTTATGCCAGATACATACATACGTAGGTACAGAATTTACAAAAAAAAAAAAAAAAAAAAAAAAAAAAAAAAAAAAAAAAAAAAAAAAAAAAACTCTTTTAACCCATGTTAAATAAATTTTTCAATCCGTTTTTGGAAAAAGACTCTTCTATTCTGCCCGTACGTAGAGATGTTCCTCAAAAACATCGTTCAAATGGATTCGAGAGCGATCAAACTGGGTATTTTCTTTGAAATATAATACCCGAAATTTTTCGCGATTTCAGTACTTCTTTTACTTCTTACAAGAAAGTCATTAGAGCGGGTTCAGATTTTAACGTTCGCCCAAAAGGACTCGTTTAAAGTTTAATATAATTTATCAGCATGCATAATCAATAGAAACGGCTCACGTAGAATTGCGAAACATCTTATAGGATACCAGATATATAAATATACATTTAGACTAATATGAGAATATTATATATCTTCTGTACATTTAAAAAGTGAAAAATATATAACGTAATTGTATAAAAAATGTTTAATGTTTCTGATTAGCTATGTCATGAATTAAATGCATTTTTATTTAACTAAATTTAAAGTTAAAAATAATAATAATAATGTTCTTTAGAACTGCATCTATTGCTTTTAAATAGCTTAATTTGTTCATCAGTAGCAGACACATCAAATTTGAAAAATAAATATCTTGCATTTTGCTGAATGGAAACAGAGTCGAAGAAAAAATGAAACAACGCAAAATCGCGTTTCAAGGCAAACAACCTTTTTGGGGCTAAAAAGAATACTGTTATTTCTATTTTTCATCAGTTGAGTAGGGAATTTCACTTATTGCATGCAAACGAACACATTAAAAAAAAAAAAAAAAAAAAAAAAAAAAGCCATAAATAAAAAATGCCTTCTAGACCAAAAAAAAAAAAAAATCAATAGCTCTCCTTTGATAAATCTATGTCTCATTTCACATCCTAAACAATTTAATGAACATAACTACTTCTGCATCCTTTCAGTTGCAGATGAAGTAATATAATACCACGAACGAGTACTTAAGTAGCATTAAAATAAGCGTAAAGCGGCAAAACCCACTCACCTTAAATCGATTAGAATTCCAAACTGATTTTCGAACACATAATTAGAAGCACTTCTCTAAACAGTCACTTTTTCAAACACACTTTAAAACTGAGACCTGCAGAACAATTTCTCCTTTGATCGCAGCACAGCGTATTAGTAATCCAGTGATGTACTACGATCATCTGTCAATAGAACTACTCAGCCACTGTAGTTAAGTGGACATCCTTATCAAAGCGCAGTCCTCGAGAACTAACATCCCGTATCGCTTTTGAAACGATAAGCGCGCGAGAGTGTAAACATAGTCGGTCTATTGACTACTTTCGAAACTTCTGTTTTCCTCCCGAGTAGCATCGCTTTAAAAATTAAGTGCAGCCTTGCACTTTCTTGCCTTTTACAGGTAGGAACCAGTTCCGCTCGGTTGAGTTTCGAGTGGATTCTGTACGTTGAGTGGAGTTTCGGAAGCGCGTTTGCTTCGAATTGCTTTGGAGTGATTTAAGAGTTTGTTCTTCCTCATAACGGTTATTTTTTGAAATCACTTTTCTGCTTACTTTCAGAATAGCAGTCGAACATGACTTTCGCGTACGTATGATTTATACAAATAAAACTAAATGTTTTTATCCATTTTGCAACATATTATGTGTAAGAGAGGCATTAAAATACCTGAAAAGTACTTTAATAAGTAAACAACAGTCTAATCTTATCTAATTTACGATTTCATTAATACAAGTGAACCCCTTTGAAAGCTGTTATTGCTGTTTCAAATGGCCGGACACTTATAGCTTAATGCATCCATGAGGAATGGCCAATATTCTCCAGTTATTTATCCGTCTCATTACCAAGAACGTTACCGAAAGCGCGCCATGAGGGCCAACCGACTTTAGTTCCGCAAGGACGGAAAATTTCCGTCCCTATTTTGACAGAATCCGAGAATCTCCCACCTCTCTTCCCCTACCACCAAGCCTTTGAGAGGGCGTTTTGTTCGCGGGTATTTAAAGTACCCCATGCCGCACAGATAGTACAAACATCTGAGCTTCTGCTAGATTCGAACCTGGGCCTAACGATACAGCACCCAACAGCACTAACCACTATACCGACGAGGGTGACCCTTTGAATATGATCTAGTATTTCTCAGAGCATATAAATAAACATTAGTCATTTCTGTAAGACGACCATCTTCACAAAATATGTAAAGCGGCTGAAATCATGGATGGTCATCTTAGGGAGGTTCCATTATAATTATTTTTTGTCTTTAGTGTTTATATGATTCATTTCAAAAGATTCTTGAATGTTTAAAATTTTTTACTGTACTTACATATATAAATTGATTAGTTGCGTTCTTTGCGTGATATTATGCGGTTAACTCCGAATTTTTCATTTCCTCATCAAGTAATTTATTATTTTTAATTTTTATCCATATTGTCCCAATTATTTCTTTTTTTCATTATGTGCAAATATGGCGACTCTTTCCGCTACCCGTCTGTAAACTTCCATGGTAGAATTTTTTCAGCTCTAATTTTTATCTTTGTTTCTGTCATAGTTACAAGCGAATAGGGCTTCGAAATCGTTCGCTTTCCAGTAATGCATTTTTTAAATTGCCTAACGTAGAGATAATCAACTTGGTCCCTACGGCCCACTAGTGGGAGATTTGGGCTGTTGGACGATAGAGGCTTTTGTCCATCCGATGATGAAAGTCCGTTGTCTTACGCGCAGCTCTCTCCTATTTCCATATATTTATAAGGCTTTGCCACTGCTCTTAGGTTTTGTTCTGTGACTAAAGCGCGCATAATAGGATCATCATATCTTAACAAAGTGTGAGGCTAGGAGAAATTTTTTCGAGTAACGGACTTCTCCTTTTCCTACCACTGAAGGTTTCTTAGCCGGAACAGGTACGCTGGAACTGATGTCCTAGGTAACTAGGCGGGACATTAATTTTCTGTCTCTTATAAATATAAGCAAAGTATAAATAATATAGTTTATAAGTATAAGCAATAATATAGTAATAATAAGCACCCGGCGTTATATAGAAGCAAAGTATAAATAACTGGATATATTTAGCAATATGTATTTTTAGCTATATATATTTTATATATTTTTTATATTTATATATAACACGGAGACATCTCAGTACTCCGAACTCACAACAGCAACAACTGAGAACAGATGCTCTCTCCGGCGTTAAATAGTTTTCACCCGAGTGCCAAAATATCTCTAATACTTTCTGCTTCTCGAACTTACTGGAAGGCAATATGAGGGCGAATTACGATTACAGCTAATATAGTGATCAATTACAGTAACTATTACGGCGATAATGGGACTGGACCAAAATGTCTCCAAATGGTCACCAAATTTGGCGACAACAATTAGTCGCAAAGCTGGTTGGCTGCCAATCTGCCAAAATTAGTTGCCAAGCTGGCAACGGTTTTGTAAGAATGCAGAGCAAGTCCAACCCTGTATTCTTACTTTTCCGGCATAAGTCTTTCCCTCTAAATTTTTTGCATGTAGCTTTAAATTCCAACCACCTTATGTTTCGGCTAGGAGAGACTGGACATCGAGAGGGACAATTCTCATAACCTGCACATTTCCAGGAAACCCACGTAGCTAGGTTACTACAAAGACTACAAACACTTACAACAAAGACTTCAACTTCAATCAGTAATCGATTATCGCTCAGACAGGAATCACGTGATCCTTCAGAAGGAGAACTTTCGTCTGATTAGTTGATCTCTACACGGAACAGAGCTCCAGGTGAAACATTTTCGGCGAGGTGCAAAAATATCCTGCATAGTAGGTGCATCGTTTCCGTATCTAGGCGGGACTTCGCTTCCAGTGGAGTTGTTTTTTTCTAGGAATCCTCCCGTTTAAATCAGTGCTACCAGAATCTCGTTTCTCAGAAAAGTCCCGTCTAGCAGGGACCATAGCTAGATGTGATAACTCTTTACGCAGAGAAATACAACAATTTCCCATATAATTACATTAAAATCATCTATATAAGCACAATATTGTAGCTGCCAAGGCCTGCGCCAGAGACGGTGCGACTGCAGCGGGCGACAAAACTTAGCGGCGGCAAAATTTTAAAATTTAGAGAAGCACTAAGAAGCAAAATTTAGGATGGCAAAATTTTTGCAATTTAGAGGAGAAACTGGAAGTAGTATTTAGAATCGGCAAATTTTTTAGAATTTACAGAAACAGCAAAAGAAGAATTTAGTACTCGCAGAGATAGCACCGCTTACAGAATACCTAACGCTAGTCCTGATATCAGTTTATGTATTAATTTTCCATTGTAAAATCAGTATAAAATTCTATTTTCTAGTTAGCCTTGCCATCTTTAAAACTCAAATTGTCTATAATATGTACATGTATTTATATTGCTACAATTTATGTAAATATATGTGTTTATTTGATTATATGGCTGCATTTAGGTTTTATATTAATTTCGGAATATTTTGTATTATTGTGATTGATTTCGTTTGGTTTATTAGATTATGATGCAAAAGACTAGTACTATCCGCTTAAGAAGAGGAGGAATGCTTTCGTGGAGGATTTTCTTAGATACACTGGCTCATATCTGTATTATACATGGGGAAAAACACGAAAACACCGATGTAGCCATCCCATTCGCCTGAAAGCGAAGCCAGGTTGAATTACATATGTTTAACGACTTTACCACTCTGTCGCTCGTGTGCTTGTATTATTGTGTAATCAGTTTTAAGATTTATTTATTTATTTTCTAACCAGAGGTATGTTATTTTAATTAACATTTTTAATTCTATGTACACAGTCGGTATAGGGGTTAGGGGAACCGAAGGGCTCCGGGTTCGAATCCCGGAGAAGACATGAATGTTTGTAAATGTATAGCATCGATGCTGCATGGCGGCACTCTAAATATGCGACGAGCCGAAAGCCCTCTCGTGTTGATTGGTGGAAGGGAAAAGGAATGAGAGACACCCAGATCCCCCGGGGTGCTCTTCCTCAAAATTGGGACGGAAAATAGAAGTCCAACCTCTCTTTGGCGTAGGCTTTGGCAGCCATTGTTTCGTGTAATAGGGACAAGACAACAACAGCAATTCTATGTACAGGTATACATCGGTATTGTGTAAATAAATTAGGTAAATGGAGATCACGCAGCCTAGGCCTTCGTATCAATTTTTTGACCCCCCCCCCCAGTTTTTTACATCTGACGATTTTTCTTAAAAATAGTAGCATTTTGGAAGTTTTTAAGAAATACATTTTCGAAAGTCTAGCACCGACTTTTGCAGAATGTTCTGGCAAGGCCATTCGTTTTCTTGTGGCTATTGTGTAAATAGGAGGCTGCGAGAAGCATTCATTTAATTGAAATTTTAGTGTAGCATGTTTTTTTATAGTGAAGAGTGTTTGAGTTTATTATTTCGTAATTTTAATCTTCATTCTTCATTTCATTTAAATCTGAGCTTGTAATGCTGATAATGCAATGCATAGCGAATTGACTCGGAAAATGGAAGCATGTATCTTAAGCTCAAAATGGCAGAGATAAAAATTATTATTATTATTATTATGCTAAAAGTAAAATTTTTTATACCTTTTTAAATAGTTGAAAGTACATCGGGATCGCAAGGGGTGAACTAAAATGCTTTATGAGTTCCGAAGTTTTCTTTTAAATTGAAAGTTCTATTATGATTATGCAAGGAAAAAGAAAGATGTTTTAGTTTTTGAGGGTTTTAAGTGAATTAATAAGTTATCTTATTCCTTCTGCATTTTCACTACTACTTTCATCGTTTGACACCTATATGCAAATGAGTTTATGTACTCACTCGCAGAATTCTTGAATCCGAGAGAGAGTTTTCAGCAGCTATCGTTTACTAACTGGCTTCAGCTTTTCTAATCATAAGTACTCGCGAAAAGCGAAAATCTGGAAACCTGAGACAAAGCCTGCAGGTTTGCTTTACCTTGTAATTTCATATAGCATTTGTTTCAGAATTTTCACAAGCTAAGGAGTTTTGATTTTATGTGACTGCATAGGTTGTGTCCGTCAGGCAGGTGAGTAAATAAAAGATTTAGTTAGAATTCTTCATCTGAGTTGGCGTTATTCTACTTAGAGGTTAAGACAGGGCGAAAACTCGTCTGACTGTATGGTCCAGAAATTAACATTTAGTGTATTTTGAATCTGTAGAAATTGTGTAGAATTTCGAAGGACCGAAGAAATTGATTTTTTCAGTCTTTTTACTGTTACTTTATTATTTCATACAGGGTGTTTCAACAATATGTGGCAAAAATGTAAAGGCTAAGTAAAGAGGACCGAAATGAGCAGATTTTATCATAGACTTTGTATTCTCAAATAGCGCTTTGAGGTGGTATAG